ACCATGATTAAAATGTAATGCTTTTTTTTTTTTTTTTTTGGTTAGTTGAACTCAGAGTCTGGGCACTGTACCTGAGCTGTTTTGTTCAAGGCTAATGCTCTACCACTTTGAGCACTACTTCTGGTTTTTGATACTCAAAAAGTCTTGGGGACTTTTCTGCCCAGGCTGGCTTTGAACCAGACCCTCAGATCTCAGCTTCCTGAGTACTAGGATTATAGGTGTGAACCATGGCTCCCGCTGAAGTGAAATATTTTTAAACATTTAAATCTCTGTTCTAGGGATGTAGATCAGTTAAAGAACAAACATGTGCACAAGACCCAAGGCTCACTCCTTTTACTTTTTCTTTTTTTGGCCAGTCATGGCGCCTGGGCGCTGTTCCTCAGCTCTTCAGCTCAAGGCAAGCACTCTACCACTTGAGCCACAGCACCACTTCCAGTTTTCTGGAGGTTAATTGGACATAAGAGTCCCAAAAAAGTTCCTGCCTGGGCTGACTTTGAACCATAATCCTCAGATCTTAGCCTCCTGAGTAGCTAGGATTACAGGTGTGAGCCACAGGCGTCCAGCAATATATACTATTTTAATTACAAAGGCTTTGTACAGTATTTTAATATGTAACAGGTGTTCTATGATGGTTTTTCTTTTTCCTCTCTTTTTTTGAGTGTGAACTGAAGATCTTGTGCTTACTAGGGCAGGCACTCTGAACACTTGAGCATATAGCCCTGGCCTGCCTAAATCTCCTATTTACACTTCCCATGTACACTCAGCTTATTGGTGGAGGCATGGTCTCATTTACTTTTTTCCCTGGTTGCTCTCAAACTCAATCTTTCTGATCTAGGCCTAGGATGACAAGCTTGAGCCCCTGACTTTTTGTCCTATTTTTGTTAATTTGGTTTTTTTTTTAATTTTTTTTTTATTTTTCACGTGGCTATCTACAGGGGGGGGAAAGCCTTAAATGACATTCTTTTTGATCCTGTAAAACAGTTTTACAGAAAAAAAAAATCTGCCAATTTAAGGAGGAAATCTTTAACATCTTTATGATGTTAAATCTTCAGGTACAGATATTTGTTGAAGTCTATTTTGTGTGCTTGTGTGTGCACACACCAGTCCTGAGTGTTTTTTCTTTTTCCTCTCTCTCTTTTTTTTAATCTTTCCTCTCTTTTTTGAGTTTGAACTTAAGGCCTTGATGCTGTCTGAACTTTTGCTGTCCCAGAGCTTTTTTTGTTGTTGTTGTTCAAGGCTAATCCTTTGCCACTTGAGCCACAGCTCCACTTTCTACCTTTTGGTGGTTAGTTGGAAATAAGAGTCTTAAAGAGGGCTGGGAAGGTGGCTCAGTGGTAGAGTGCTTGCTTTGCATGCATGAGGCCCTGGGTTTGATTCCTCAGTACCACATAAGCAGGAAAAAAAAAAAGCTGGAAGTGGTGCTGTGGCTCAAGTGGTAGAGTACTAGCCTTGAGCTGAAGAGCTGAGGGACAGCGCCCAGGCCCAGAGTTCAGGCCCACGACTGGACCTCCCCCCTCACCAAAAAAAAAAGTCTTAAAGACATCCTGCCTGGATTGGCTTTGAATCAGGATTCTCCTAAGATCTCAGCCTTCTGAGTCTAGGATTACTTTTTTGTCTGTCAGAAACATCTTTAAAGATTTCCACAGTGTTTTGTGTACTTTTTGTTTATGGATTACATATGTGTATATATATATAGTCACTTAAAAGTATAAATGGGAATTTTTTTATCTATCTGGCCTATGTCTGTAAAATATTCTTGGAAATATTCTTGTTTTTTTCTTCTTGGTGCCTGTCTTGAGGTTTGAACTCAGTAGGGGGGTTGGGCATTGTCCCTTAGATTCTTTTGCTCAAGGCTAGCTTCCTACCACTCTGACTTTTTGGTAGTTTTTTATTAGAAATAGAGTCTCATGGACTTTCCTTTTTTTTCTTTTTCTTTTTCTTTTTTTTATTGTTTGAACAGTGATCCTCAGATCTCAGCCTACTGAGCAGTTCCAGTTCCAGGCATGAGCCACCAGTGCCCAGCCAGAGGAAATATCTCTGTTTGCTTTGTACTACAATGTTTTGGTAAACTGTTTTAAAAATAATATTTAATTGATTTTTAATATATTCAAGGCATATAATTAATTTATCTGCCAATTATACTCACAGCTGTTTGCCTTTCATTTGTCGGGGTAAATCATAGTCTAGTAAAAAAAATGGGTCTTCCTTTAGTTTGGACAATATATAGTGTTTCTGTTGAAAGTACAGTGCTGGTTTTAGAACTGATATGTGTCATATTAAGTGAGTTCAGGGGAATTTTTGTGGTTGTTTTTTATTGGTTGGTTGTTTATTTGGTTGGTTAGTGCTGGGAATTGGACCCAAGGAGTTGTACATGTTAAGTATCTATCTACCACAACTATAATACTCCTAGCCCCAAAATGTTTTTTTTATTTAGTATATATAACAGAAATGCTATTGAATTTGTAAAATGTCTTTTCATCATTTTCAGCATGATCATATTTTTTGTGTATAGGTATGTTAATATGTTAAAGTAATACTAATCAGTTTTCTAGTAGTACAACTTTTTACTGTAAAGCTTATTAGATTTCTTTCATTTCTTTATGAGGTCAATTTTGGTTAAGATGTTTTAATTATCTCAAGTTATATTAATTATCTTCATGTAGGTTTTCAGATTTGTTTGCATAGAGTTAAGTGGTCTCTTATAGATTCATCTGTTTTCTTGGATTTCTTTTTTTTTTAATTTTTTATTGTGAAAATACCATACAGAGAGGTTACAATTACATGGGCAAGGTAATGAGTACGTTTCTTATCAAGCATTGTTGCCTCCTCCTTCGTTTCCCTTTCCCATCTCCCGCACCCTTCCCCTCCCAACCCCCGCCCCGCCAAAGTTGTAAAGTTCGTTTTTTCAACATTACGGTTTCCTGGATTTCTATTGATATTTTCTTATTTTAGGACAGTCTGGAAGTGCTGACAGATATATCTTTGTTTTTACACCAAAACAATAAAAACAGTTCTATTAAAAGAAAAAATTCTAGGCCCAGCGCTGGTCCTTCCACATTTAATCCTAATTGTCTTTTTTTTTTTTTTTTTTTCTGTCGGTCATGGGGCTTGAACTCTGGGCCTGGGCGCTGTCCATGAGCTCTTCACCTCAAGGCTAGTGCTCCATTTGAACCACAGCACCACTTCCGGTTTTCTGGTGGTTAATTGGAGATGTCTCATGGACTTTCCTGCTTGGTCTGGTTTTGACTGTGATCCTCAGATCTCAGCCTCCTGAGTAGCTAGGATTACAGGTGTGAGCCACTGGCACCTGGCTAATCTTAATTATCTTTTGCTTGTGAAATCTTTCTGCCTTCTTGCCTTATTATTACACTTGTTTTTTAGTAAGCATTGGATAAAACTCTAATGAATAGTTGTTTTTGGCTTTCTTTACTCCTACATAGTGAGGAATCTCTTTAGTAGAAAACTACAGAAAATAAGTTGATGTTTTTATACTTCCAGTGTATTTAAAGTCAGGTTTTCCCCATTTCACAAGATATGATAGCTATAATGTGATCACACAAGTTTCATTCATTAATTTATACCCTTAATTATTTATGGTACTGGGGATCGAAGTCAGTCCTTTTGCTTGTAGGCCACTCTGCCAATTAAGCCACACTCCCAGTCCTCAAGATCTTTGAATGTTGCTTGTGTAAAAATGACATGATACTTTTAGCCTTTAAATAATTAAGGATTATTCTTAGCCAACTGTTGTGATGTCCCCTTACAAACCCATCACTTACAAATAAAGCAGGAGGATCACAAATTCAAAGATAGCCTGGACTATGTAGCAAATTAATTTCTTAAAGAAGTTGGGCATCTGTTGCTTAGACCTGTAACTCTGGCTACTCAGGAGGCTGAGATCTGATGATCACAGTTTAAAACCAGCCCAGGTAGTAATGTCTGTAAGACTCTACCTCCACTTAACCAGCAAAATGCTGGGCTGGAGGCATGGCTCAAGCAATGTGCCAACTGTGAGTGAAAAAGCTTCATAGATCTGGAGCCCTGAGTTCAAGCCCTGATTCTGGCATACACATAAATATGAATTCTATATTCTTGATTTTATTAATTCTAAAATATGTTTGACATTAAACTAAAGCAAATCTGGGTCTCCTGAATCTTCCTTGCTAATCCTAAAACATCCTACTTCTTCATGCCCAGGACCTCTTATCCTTATGGCTATCCATCTCTATCCTGTCTCTCCACTTTTTTTCAAGGCCTATGAATCACTACCAAGTTTGGCTTCACTTCTCTTTGCCAGTCTACACCAAAGATCATCTATTTTATTTAAGTTTTCTTCTAGTCTCAGTTTGAATATAGTAGGTCCCTAGACTACATATTCAATAGAGTTGTCTTATTATCTTCATCCTACCAAAATTTAATTTAGAGTCTTTATCTGATATTTTATTTTGTGACCATTTTGTAAAATGTTAGCTCTTCAGAATTACTTTACCATGGTGTTTAAGACTAGCTGTCATTAAATGGAATGTATGATGAGCTCTATAATCTCTTTTATCTACTCTGGCCCTAAAAATCTGTAACTTAATCAAAATCCAAAAATAGATTAACATCACTAACATAACTATATCCTTGTCAATGATTACTTTCCTTAAGTTTTGTCTATAAGATCTGTTTAAATATATCTAAATATCTTAATTATCTCTACTTAGAAAAAAAATCTTACTTTATAAAAATTTTATCCACCTATAAAAAGGCAAAGGTATTCTAACTACTAAAGTTCTTTCTTCTGTTTTAATCTTACTTGTCTTCAACTAAGATCCAATATTACATCCTCTTAGAAAGACGCTGCTTGAATTATATTGCTTTGCAACCAAATGAGCACATTTAACACATTTTTTCTTGTTTCAAATGTCTTGAGGGTTGTTTCCTTTATCCCTTTCTTTGATACAGGCAGCCACTATATATTTTAGTAGTGAATTTCAAAATCCTTTTTAACCTTATAGGTCCAAGGGTAGCCAAGGATGGCTGCAGCTTCATATGATCAGTTGTTAAAGCAAGTTGAGGCACTGAAGATGGAGAACTCAAATCTTCGACAAGAGCTAGAAGATAATTCCAGTCATCTTACAAAACTGGAAACTGAGGCATCTAATATGAAGGTATCAAGACTGTGACTTTTAATCGTAGTTTATCCCTTTTCAAATCCTCTTGTAATTGGGGTGGCTAAGACCCTTCATTTATGGTAAGCAACATATGAAAACACTTTCTTGAAAAATAAAATGTGTTGAGTTATTTATAAACAAGATAAATGTAAAATTAAATTATTTTTTTATCTTAAAAGTAAGAGGTTCAGCCAGGCATCAGCAATTCACACCCGTAATCTTAGCTACTCTGTAGGCGGAGATCTGAGGATCAAGATTCAAAGCCAGCACAAGTAGAAGAATCCATGGGACTCTTATCTCTAACCACCAAAACAGCTCAAAGTGGAGCTGTGGCTCAAGTGGTAGAGCACTAGCCTTGAGCAAAACAATTGAGGGACAGTACCCAAAGTTCAAACCACAGGACTGGCACAAGAGGGAGACAGAGACACAGAGAGAGTGGGGGTGGAGATAGGGAGAGAGATAGAGATAGGAGACCAACTTTAAAAATTTACTGTACTGAGGCAAGGCTTTCTGTGTAGTTCATAGAAACCAGCCTCATATTTCAGGATAGATCTCAAATATTAAATATCACCATCCCCTTCCACTCCTTTATATCTTGTTAACTCTAAAATGCTACCATGATGGATGATCTAGGAACAAACCAGGAACTGAAAGTCCTGTTCCTGACTTTGCCACAGTCTGAGGTATATGATCCCTGGTTACCAATGAGGATTTAAATTGTATTATATAGGTATCATACAAGGTAATTTTTTTTCTTTCCTTTTCTTTTTGGCCAATTGTGGGGCTTGAACTCAGGGCCTGGGTGTTATCCCTGAGCTCTTTTGCTTAAGGCTAGTGCTCTACCACTTTGAGCCATAGCTCCACTTCTGGTTTTCTGGTGGTTAACTGAAGATAAAAGTCTCACAAGGACTTTCCTGCTTGGGCTTGCTTTGAACTGCAATCCTCAGATCTCAGCCTCCTTAGTAGTGAGGATTATGGGCACGAACCACCATCACTTGGCTGTTGAAGATGTTTTCTATGCCACTTTCAGGTTCTGTCTGATTTGCCAAATAGTGTTGAAAAGATGTGATAACATTCAAGAAAAGTTACATTCAGTCTGCAGTAGGGAAAACATATTCTAGATTCAAAATAATCAAGATTAAAACTATAGCTGTTTTAATTTCCAGTTACTTAGGCATATTTTCCTTTTGTAGAATTTAATACTTTTATAGAATTAAAGATTATCAGCAAATGTTAACCTCTGTGTACTTTAAGAAGTTCTTTCTGCTTTTTAGTGTTTCTCAGCTTGCCTACTTTTTAACATCTTAATTCCTGACTGCTCTTCCTGTCAGGTTTCTACTCTTATTCTTTATTCATTTCCTAGTTTATCTAGTTGTTTTCCTATGCACTTCAAAGTCTCTCTTATTCTCTATGCTTTTGGTATCCCGGAAATAACTTCTGATCCTTTTACTCTTTATACTTAACATCATAATATTAACCTTGACCTTTTGCTCTTATATAAAATTATTCCTGTCTTCATCTTTTTATTGATTCTTCACTATTCTAATATTCGATTTCTGTACTAAAACTCTCCAATAATAACATAGGTAGAATAAAATTGTTTTTTCCGTACCACAAACTATGTAATCTCTTACCTTAAAAACACTAGAGTCAGCCAGAAGTCGGTGTTCATGCCTGTAATCCTAGATACTCAGAAGGCTGAGGTCTGAGGATTATGGTTTGAAATTAGCATGGGCAAGATAGTCCATGAGACTCTCTTGTGTGTGTGAAAATACTGTACAGATGAGCTACAATTACATGAGCAAGGAATGAGTATATTTCTTATCAAGCATTGTTGCCACCTCCTTTGTTTTTGCCCTACCATCCCTTCCCTCCCATCTCCACAACTACAGTGACTCTTATCTCTAATGAATCTCTCTCTCTCTCTTTCACACACACACACAAACACACATACACACACACACACACACACACGCACACACACGCATGCACGCACGCACCAGAAGTGGAGCTATGGCTCAAATGGAAGAGTGCTAGCCTTGAGTACAAAAGCTCAGTGACAGTGCCCACACCCTAAGTTCAAGCCCACGACTAGCTGGCACACACACAAAACCATTGGAGTTAGTTATCTAATAGAGCTTGATATCATATAATTAATAAATACAGTGTACCTCAAATCATTATATATGGCATGTATTTTTGAAAGTTTAAAGAAGCACAAGAAAATCCTCTTGTATCTCCTTCAATATGGTATATTTTTTTCAGAGAACTCAGAGTTAGCCTATCTTGATTTATACTCCAGAACTCTTAGATCTCTTTTTAAAGATTTTAACTATGTGAACAAATTTAAAACTTATTTTAAAAATATTTGGGGGCTGAGTGCTAATGGCTCACCACACCTTTAATTGTAGCTATTCAAGAGGCTGATTTTGAGGATCATGATTTGAAGCCAGTCCAGCTAGGAAAGTCTATGAGAATCTTATCTCCAATTAACCACTAAAAATCCAGAAGTGGAAATGTGGCTCAAAGTGGTAGAATGCTAACCTTGAGCAAAAACTCAGGGACAGCACACAGACCCTAGGTTCAAGCCCCAGGACTGGTACACACAAAAATACTTCGGAAACTATTTTACCTTACACTAAGATCCATCTGTATGCCGGCGTAGTATCGGAGATTCCAAATCACACACTTAAATTTTTACAGTGAAATACAAGTTGATTATACATCAGAAATATAGAAACTTCAGCTATGTCTAAATTTAATCCTGAATTGCTTGTTACTCATCACATAGCTTCTGCATTTTTTTAAATCCATATTTCAAAATTGACACCTGGTTTCATAGCAATTACAACCATAAGTGAAATTGTTATGTATCAATTCCTTAAAAGATTATGTGTTTTAAGGAACAGGAACCAGCACATTTTTATTTCATATTAGAATATTGATTTGTAAAAATACACTTTTAGAACACCTGTTACTTCATACATTGGATTAAAGTTAATGTACTACAGTGGCTCTTCTCACAAAAAACAGTAGATTTTGGAATACATTGTATAGTATGGGATCATGTTTCTTATATCTTATTTTATTTTTGGGGGGGTCTGGTCGTGGGGCCTGAATTCTGGGCCTGGGCGATATCGCGATATCCCTTAGCTCTTCAGCTCAAGGATAGCAATCTACCACTGGAGTCATGGCACCACTTCTGGGTTTTTTTTCCTGCTTATGTGCTACTGAGGAATCTAACCCAGGGCCTCAAGAATGCAAGCGCTCTACCACTGAGCCACCTTCCCAGCCCGGGATCATGTTTCTTGACCATTATTTACCACCAACCAAGGCTAAGCCTGTCTCCTTCAACCATTTTATTTAAACTAAGGAAAGCTAAAATGTATGCAATATTACCATCTAGTGGCAAAAGAAGATACTACCTTGCTGCTGATTAATTACACTATACAAATGTTTTGGCAGATGAGACAATGTGTATAACAGAAATATGAGCAGATGGTATATTTGAGGATATTAAGGAAGTATTTTACTTTTTAGACAAATTGACACCATTGTGATTGTGTTTAGAAAGGTTCCCTACTGAGATGTAATTATTAAATACTTACCAAAAAATTATGTTTGAAATTCGTGTTCAGATATATCTGGGCTAGAGATGTGGAAATGAAAGAAGTTGTTGTGGGTGTGCAGATAAAACAGTATTGACTAAGAATTGATAATTATTGAAATGGAGCTTGATGATACATGAAAATTCATTATAACTATTAATGTATGAGTTTGAAATTTTCTATGATAGAAATATAAAACAGATAGTAATAGGATTTAGATGATCTGGAGCAGGATAAGTTCAAAATATGTGTAATATGTGTGTTGGCTTATACACACAGGTAAGTATGCTTGTATGTATGTATGTATGTATGTATATCCAAATAGCTGCAACTACAGGTACAACCTACCCTATCCTATGTACTATATATATTTTTTTCCCTTCAGGGGTAGATTTCAACTTAATTGACTTAAAAGTCCTGAACATAATAGCAAGGTAATATGGTTCTATAGACTTGTAAAGCATTCATGCTAAGAGATGGCATAGTGGAGGAAGAATTGTCTGTAGGCAATTTTTTTTTCCCCATTGCTGGGGCTTGAATTTAGGGCCTCGTGTCCTCAATAGCCTTTATGTCCATGTCTGATGCTCTGCCAGTTGAGCCACACCTCTGTTTACTGGTTTTGGGAGATAAAATTCTCTTGGATTTGTCTGCTCAGGCTAATTCTCAACTCTCACCCTCCTAACTTCCATCTGGTTGTAGGCAAATTATTAATGAAGCATTTTTATCTCAGCTAGAATGTAGAATCTCTATGTTGCTCTATAAACTACAAAATCATGTATATGTTAAGTAATTTTTTCAGAGTATAAGGACAGGAAAAAACCATAAAAGTTCAGATCGGCACAGTGATTTGCTTTTTAATATTTAGTTATTGAAAATGTACTAAGTTACTTTTTAATCTTAAAAATAAGAGACCTAGGGACTGATGCCCCTAATTCTTTACAGGTTCTTTTATTCCTGTTAGCTTTTAAGTGTGCGGGTTGTTAACCCATAATCCAACCCATAATAGTAACAAAAGTGTTCTTGGAAACAGAACCCCCTGTAATTACAGAGATGTTCCTAGCACATCATACTTTCAATGAAACTTTAAAAAAATAAAAGGAAGTGTTTCTATTTTAGTTGCATAACCCTGAAAGCTCTTTATAGGTTGCTTTCCCTAGCATGTGTGAAGCCCTGAGTTGGATTCCTCAGTACCACAAGAAAAAGTCATAAGTAGTAGGGCTGTGGGTCAAGTAGTGGAGTGCTAGCCTTGAGCAAAAGAGCTCAGAGACCGTGCCCAGGCCTTGAGCAAGAACCAGGACTGGCAAAAAAAAAATTTTTTTTTAATTTAAATGCACACCATTAACTGGGAAAACTTTTTTTTGCTATACATATATGTATGTATGTATGTGTGTGTGGTGTGTGTGTTTGACAAAGGGACTTGTGTCAGAATATATAAAGAATTCCTGTAAATGCTAACCCAAGAAATAGAATTTTGAAATATATTCTAATGACTTGAAGACAATTCAGAAAGGAAGATAAATGATCAATAAGCACATGAGTAACATCTGTCATCATGAAAATCCAAAGACCATTTGATTCCTACTCAGATGACTAAAATTCAGATGACTATTCATGCCAGATGTGGAACACTGGAGTGCTGTTACATTACTGAGAGGAGTATTAAACACTAGGCAGTTTCTTTTAAACTATGATTCAGCATTTGAATTCCTTGAAATGAAAACAAGAGAAGTAATTGCATATACCTAGTAAAAGATTTGAAGCATGGAACAAATGGTAAAGCACTTGCCATGAGCAGGAAAAGCTGAGTGTAAGCACAAGGCCTTGAATTCAAGCTCAGATACTGACTGGCATAATAATAATAATATCGTTTTTCAGTATAGCCTCCAAACTGGTAACTACCCATTAACAGAAGAATAAATTGAGGTCTGTTCATGCAGATTAGTATACAGCATTAAAAAATAATGAATGATATATGCAGTAGCTTGGATGCATCTCACAGGTAATTATGTTAAGTAAAAAACCTGAGACACAAAAGGCTATTTACTATGTAATTTCATTTTTAATGAAAAGCATGCCAAACCTGCCACATGCTATTATGAAGTCATAACAATGGTTATTTATGGAGATTGAAGACTGGTAAGGGTCTGAAAAAACCATCTGAAATGTTAGAAATGTTTTTCTTCACCTAGGTGACAATTACACAGATAGAAAAATTCATCAGGTACTTAAGATTAGTGTACTTTACCTATAAGTCGTACCTCTATAAAAACAAGAAATATAATTTAGACTTATTTTTATTTTTATTATAGAATAACCAGCCATATGCTAGTCATAGCAAACTAGTGAGTAATTTAAGTCATCCCAGATGTTGTCACATTAAAGCAAAGAAAGTAAATGTGACTATAAATTAATATGTCCCCCTTTTTTTAGTGAGCCACTTAATCCAGAGTACACACAAAATAATTTCAGGGACACATCATTGAGGTAAGTTGGTAACTTTCAAAAAATGACTACTTTGAAAGGCTTCAAGAAATTTTAACCATATATTTCAATGAATTTATTTGCTTAAAAGTTGGTGTACATAACTATAACTTGAGAATCACCACTAGTAGGCATTGGAGAAAAAGTCTTGTAAAGAGAGACCTAACCAGAGCTTTACTTTGAAGAAACTATTTTGACAGCTCTTTGCAAGGTTGGACTCTTTAGGAGATTATTTTAGTAGTTTAGATTGGCTTAAACAATAATAAGAATAAACTTGAACCAAAATAAGAGCAGCAAGAGTAAGAGATAACAGGGTAATGATGGAATTTGATATGAGAGGAAAAGTAGTAAGAGTGAATGGAAAGAATATTGAAGGTGCTAGAAAAATCATGGGTAGCTCATAATGAGTTTTCAAACTGGAAGAGATGAAATAACTAGAAGTCCATAGTAGACCTTTTGGTGAGGCTCCATATTCATTTCAGGAAAGGCATCGTTGTCTCACAGAGGGAATACTATGGGAGTGTGAATACATGTTCACACATCTTTGTACTCAAGCCTTTCAAACTACAGCCTGGTCTATTATTTAAAGGTCACATCCTAAGATCACAGGCTAGAGATTATGTTTTTATTACAATGATACTATCTTGAAGTTGTCTTTTCTGCATTCACTCACTGTTGGACAGATTTTCTTTTCAATGCATTTATAGATTACTTTTTTTTCTGTAGGATAATACTACTCTTAAAGTGTTCAAATATAAGTGCATTTGTAAAATTGAATTGACCAAACAAAGGACTTATTCCAGGAGTCAGAATGGAATGCTTTAGTATATGGAAAGTATAAATCTAAATTACTGTTAAAAAACATTCTATTCTAGCCTTATAAATGAGCTTCCATTATTCTCTGAGAAAAATTTATCAAGAAAATTTCTATAAGGAAACAATAGCATCAAAAGTCAGGAAGCAGAGAGCATTACAGTTTTTGAATATCTTATCAGTGATGATCATATTCTAGTAGATAATATGTAAAAGCTTGAATATTAAGCAGGTTATAATATGTTCATTTATATGGTATTTTCCTTGGTCAAGTTGTTACAAGTTTAAGGGACATGGATTCTAAACACATGCTTGCTTAAAAGCTTAAAAGTTTCTTAGTCTCAATTTATTTATCTGAAAAAAAACAAAAATAATTGACCTTGTTAATAGTTAAGATATAATTATTAGTCAGGCACCAGCGGCTGATGCCTGTAATCCTAGCTACTCAAGAGGCTGTGATCTGTAGAACACAGTTAACCACCAAAAAGTCAGAAGTGGAGCTGTGGCTCAAGTGGTAGAATGCTAGCTAGACTTGAGCAGAAAAGCTTAGAGGCAAAGTCCAGGGCCTGATGAGTTCAAGCCCCAAACCTGGAGCAAACAAGATATATTTGATGTCTTTTATTTAGAATATAGTAATTATATAAAACAGTGTTTCCCTGTGACATTTTATATATATGGATAATGTACGTTGATCATATTTGTGTCCCCATCACCCTCTTTTATGTGTATCATGTAAGTGTCTTAAACAGAAATTCCTCCTAGTTACCATAATCAGAAGCTGTAACTATTACTATAGTAATATTATCATTGGATATATGATATATAATGAATAATAGTGTGTATATATACACATATATACATATTATATAGGTGCTTATAGCTTATATCATGTTTCAGGGCGGTCTAAAATAACTCTTTCCTCCCCCCAGCAGATCTACATGCCAAGAAACGTAGAATCATATGTTTAGATTTTCTGGAGTTTTTTCTTGTCAATATGCTGCTTTTTTTTTTAACAGGAAGTACTTAAACAACTACAAGGAAGTATTGAAGATGAAGCTATGGCTTCTTCAGGACAGATTGACTTATTAGAACGTCTAAAAGGTAGCTCTTTAAAAGTGTCTTAATCTAACTTTTAAAGTTCAAATAACTTTTAAATGTATAGATCAAGTACAGATCATCCTGATTTGGATTTTGGTTTTGTTTTGTTTTGTTGGTATATATCACTCTTAGCTATTAGGCTACAATCCTTTTTTTTTGGAGGGGGGGGTCCGGTCATGGGGCCTGAACTTTGGGGCCTGGGTACTGTCCCTCAGTTCTTCAGCTCAAGGCTAGTGCTCTGCCACTTGAGCCACAGCGCCACTTCCGGCTTTTTTCTTTTTGCTTATGTGGTGCTGAGGAATCGAACCCAGGGCCTCATGTATGCAAGGCAAGTGCTCTACCACTGAGCCACCTTCCCAGCCCCCCCCCCTTTTTTTTTTGTCTGTCGGTCGTGGGCCTGAACTCTGGGCCTGGGCCTGGGCCCTGTCCCTCAGCTCTTCAGCTCAAGGCTAGCACTCTACCACTTGAGCCACAGTGCCACTTTCAGCTTTTTCTGGTTTTGTGGTGCTGAGGAATCTAACCTAGGGCCTCATGCATGCAAGCCATGCACTCTACCACTGAGTCACCTTCCCAGCCCCTAGACTGTAATTCTTAAAGTACAATTATAGAAAAGTGTATTTGCTATCATTTTTGGGTAAATATTTAGCTGGTTTTAATTAAACTATTTCGTATTTCTTTTCAGGTATATTGCCATTCTGCCAATCACTAAATAGAACTTTAGTATTCTGTAGACCACAGACTAAGTAGCAGCAGCTATATTTAAAGAGTTATCGTTCATCTGGAATAGAAATCTTTGTCTTTTTACATAGTACATCAGTTTATTAACAAGGAATGGTTCTTTTTTTTGCCTTAAAATGTCAGTGTCATACAGTGAAAGTGCTTATTAATAATTGAAACTAAGCAGAGAAATTACTTTTGTTTCCAAAATATTATCTAAAGGATTTAAGGGAGTACATTTGTCTAATTTTAACATACTACTTATTTTATGCCTCAAGCTGGCATTGAAGGAAAAGATTACCCACTCTGATTCTTTCTAAGTAATTGATTGTTGTTGGGTTTTTTTTTTAGTAATGTACATTGTTAGCTAAAATATGAACCAAAGATTTCTTTTTCACATAACATAGTTTTAGGAATATTTTACATGACAAAAAGCAGTTGCTACATAAAAACGTGTTTTTACATTATTTAGAACTTAACTTAGACAGCAGCAATTTCCCCGGAGTGAAACTACGATCAAAAATGTCCCTCCGTTCTTACGGAAGCCGGGAAGGATCTGTATCAAGTCGTTCAGGAGAGTGCAGTCCTGTTCCTATGGGGTCGTTTCCAAGAAGAGGGTTTGTAAATGGAAGCAGAGAAAGTACTGGATATTTAGAAGAACTTGAAAAAGAGAGGTAACTTCCGTTGATTTTATAGTAAATATTGACTTGTACACTCCAAGTTTGTTGATATTATTTTGTAATACCAGATATAGGTTATGAATTTATTGTAGGTGATAGCTAACATTTCAAGAACCCATTGCATCTTTGAACACAAACATAATATATAATTGTATTTAAATACTCTATTCCAGGGATTCTAAAGACTTTTCTTTATCACATATCAGATATTCTGCACATTAACTAATACATATGATCATAATATTTATATCTGGTTAACATCTGCAACTTCTTTTATTTCTTTTTTTATTTCTTTTTTTTTTTTTTTGGCGGTGGGGCTTGAACTCTGGGCTTGGGCGCTGTCCTTCAGCTCTTCAGATAAGGCTAACGCTCTACTGCTTGAGCCACAGCACCACTTCCAACATCTGCAACTTCTTTTTAATTACATGTCTGGTTATTTTTTCAACTAAATTGAGTAACTACTAGATCTAGTATATAGGTCTATTACAGGTGGCCAAAAATGGAAACAGTTATTAATTTATCAGTTTTCATATTTAAAAAAGCATTGCTTAAAATGGAATCAGTCAAGGTACCAACCAAACAATGAAAGGATAGAGAAAATGCGATATGCTTACACAGTGGAGGGTTATTCATCCCAGAGGAGGAGGGGGAAAGAGAGGAAGAGGAGGAGGAATAATAAAATCATGTTATTTGCAGAAAAAATAGAAGTGGTGATGGCTTTTTAAATTTTGGTGCCAATCCTGGGGCTTGAACTCAGGGCCTGGGCACTGTCCCTGGGCTTTTGTGCTCAAGGCTAGTGGTCTACCAGTTTGAACCATCACACCATTTTTTTAGTAGTTAATTGGAAATAAGTCTCACAGACTTTTCTGCCCAGGCTGGCTTTGAACTTTGATCCTCAAATCTTAGCCTCCTGAGTAGGTAGGATTACAGGTGTGAGCCACCAACCCTGGCTGGAGATCATCATTTTAAGAGAAATAAGCTAGACTAAAAACAGAAATATTGCAACTGAGTGCCAGTGGCTCTTGCCTGTAAACCTAGCTACTAAAGAGGCTGAGATCTGAGGATAGCAATTTGAAGCCAACCCAGACAGGAAAGTTTATAAAATTGTTTATCTCCAACTAGCCACCAAAAATCTGAAAGTAGAGCTGTGGCTCATGTGATAGAGTAGTAGTGAAGAACAGTACCCAGACCCTGAGGGAAGAGAGGAAGGGATCTAGATCTAAATGTATATGTATATTTGTATATGACATGAATGTAAAAAGGGACTATTTGGTTGGGAGAGAGGAAAGAGGAAAAGAGAGGGTGATAAAGAAAGGTGAATGTGATTGATGTGCCTTCAAAGTACATTATATTTATTCAGGGAAATAGTACAATAAACCCTTTTGTGGCTGGGTACTGTTGGCTCCTGCCTGTAATCGTAGCAGTTTGAAACCAGTCCAGGTAAGAAAGTTCATGTGACTGTTACCTCCAGTTAGCCAGAAGTGTAGCTGTGGCTCAAGTAGTAGAGCACAAGCCTTGAGCAGGAAAACTCAAGGACAGTGCCCATGCCCTGAGTTCAAGCCCCAGGACTGGCGAAGTAAATAAGTAAATAAATCCGTTTGTACAAAAATATATGCTAATTTAAAGAAAAACATTGATATAAAGTGAGTTCAGAATCCTCATAACTGTTCTACTCTTTTCTTCCTGAAGTTAACATTATCTTATTGTAAATAACAGAATATGGATCATTATCAAGAATTTTTTTCAGAAGTAGCACTGTGGCTCAAAGTGGTAGAGTGCTAGCCTTGAGCAAAAGAGCTCAGACAACATCCAGGCCCTGAGTTCAAACCCCACATCTGACAAAAAAATAAATAAAAGAATTTTTTTCGAGTGTTTCATGTTTCCTAAAAAGTAACTAATGCACAAATTATACCTAACTATTCTTCCTATTAGAATTCCTAAAATGTCTCTTAGACATTCAGAATGGTAAAGTATATGTTACATATTAATTTTATGACCTTGGTCAGTTCATTTGATTTTTTTTTGGCAAGTTCTTCTGTAAAACACAGATTTGGTTCAACCTTATGGAGTTATGAAAATCTAGTATTAATTTTAGATAAAGAAAATACTCTTAAGAAATGTATTCATTATCTTGCCCATGTAATTGTAACCCCTCTATACAGTATTTTCACAATAAAAAAATACTCAACATATACTGAGAGTGATATTGATAACATCATCAGTTTCTCAGATATTACATAATTTCATCTTCAAATTCACAACTAAGACATTCATATCAGAGAAATTTCTCTTATTTCAATGTTGGTATATTATTTTGGGTGCTAAGAGCTTAAAGCCACATTATGTAATTTCTAATTCTCTCACTTTGTTCCTGGCAGCATTCCTGCTCCTCTTACCTTATTAGTATACTTTCTTACCTTATTAGTATACTTTTTTTTTTTTTGGTCAGTCATGGGGATTGAATTCAGGGACTAGGTGCTGTCCCTAAGCTTTTTTCCTAAAGGCTAGTCTCTACTACTTTGAGGCACAGCTCCACTTCCAGTTTTTCATGGTTAGTTGGAGAGAGAAGTTTCATAGCCTTTCCTGCTTGTGCTGGCTTTGAACTGAGATCCTCAGATCTTGGCCTCCTGAGTAGATAGGATTATAGACATGAGCCACCAGCACCTGGCTCTTATTAGTATACTTTTTATTCTTATACTAGTTTTGGATTTTGTTATATATAATAAAATAACTGTACGTTTTACTTCTCATCATATTCTTAGACTATAAATAAAGTATTTGGTTGAAATGTAAGTATCATAATTATAATATTCCTAAGTCCTAACTTCAAAAATCCAAATGACTGTTTTTGTTCATTCATTACTAGTAGCTTTAATAGTGATTAAGGATTGCTTTTATGCCATCTGTATTAGCATTGTATAAACTTATCTTTCTTTAAAAAAAATAGATCATTACTCCTTGCTGATCTTGACAAAGAGGAAAAGGAAAAAGACTGGTATTATGCTCAACTTCAGAATCTCACTAAAAGAATAGATAGTCTTCCTTTAACTGAAAACGTAAGTAACTTGGCAGTACCACTTATTTTAGAATTTAACAATTTGACTTTTAAAAATTCCTAAGTTAAGCTGGGCACTGATGGCTCATGCCCATAATCGTAGCTACTCAGGAGGCTGAGATCTGAGGATCACAGTTCAAAGCCAGCACAGGCAGGAAAGGCTGTGAAAATTTTTTATCTCCAATAAACTACCAGAAAACTGGAAGTGGCATTATGGTTCAAGTGGTAGAGCGCTAGCCTTGAGTGAAGAGCCTAGGGACAATGTCTAGGCCCAGAGTTCAAGCCCCATGACCACCATCACCAACAACAAAATTCCTAAGTTAAAACGTTTGGTGGTATGTAACTATATACAAATGTGTTAACTGAAATACAGTAGATTAAAGAGAGATCTCAAATAGTGTAATCCCTTAGAAAGCCAAAATCAGAGTTTAGTACCAGACACTTGAAAGGAGTAGGATGGGGTCAAAGGGAAAGAGGTGGATTAATGAAGAAAAGAAGTGGAAAATGCAGACAAGAATCCAATTTATATCCTACAAAATTTAAGAAGAGGGAGAGAGGGGGTAGATAGGGGAAGGGATGGGTGAGAATGTTGGAAGCGGTAACACTGATATTGATCAAGAGATACTGTATTTATACATTGTATTAATAAACTATATTTATAAACTTCGTTAAATGGCAACTTCAGTGTACAACTACTTAAGATAATTTTTTTAATGTATTTTTCAAAAAAAGACCTGAGTTGCTGGGTGCCATTAATTTATGTGTGTAATCTTGGCAGGAGGTTGAGATCCAAGGATCACTGTTGAAAGCCATCCCAGGCAGGAAAGGCTTTGAGACTGTAATCTCCAATTAACCACCAAAAGCCAGAAGTGGAGCTGTGTCTCGAGTGGTAGAGTGCTAGCCTTGAGCACAGAAGCACAGAGATAGTGCCTAGTCTCTGAGTTCAAGCCTCAGGACCAACATACACACGCACACACATGCGCACGGTTACACATACACACACACACATATACACACACATAGTTATCTATTAAAAATTCAAGATAACTGAAGTAATTTGTAAATTTTAATATCAACTCTAACCTGAATATGTAAGTTTGGGCAACCATTTTGTTTGTTTTTTTAATTCTGTCTGTTGAATTTCCAAACACACTGTTTGAATATTTATTATCTGTCCCTTTTTTATACAATATTACAGATATCATGCCAGATAGTTTTTGCAATAAAATCATATTGAAGCTATAGCCATGCTCTTACTATTTTTTGTGGGATCCACACTTCCTCTTACAAATATATCTATGTAAAAAAAAAAAAAAGCTCTCTCCTCCTCCTCATAACCTCTCTGTATTAGCTATTTTATACATGGACTGGCATAAATTAAGGAAGTTTCTGAAATACTTTCACAATGTTATGCCTATATGTTTCAACTGTTACTCGTCTTTTTTATATATTCTTACTTTTTGGTATCAGTAGTGGAGCTTGAACTCAGGACTCCTGCCTTGCTTTTTCCACCCAGCGTTGGAATTCTACCTCTTGAGCCATACCTTCACTTCCAGCTTTTTGCTGGTTAACTGGAGATAGAAGTCTCATGGACTTCTTCCTATTGTAGTTTAGACTATAATCCTAGCTTCCTGAGTCTCTAGGATTTCAGGTATGAACCCCCAGTGCCTGGTAGATCTTTTATTTAATTTCAAAGAGAAAACAAATTAAAATAAAACTACTTGCTTTTTTAGATTTTTTTTTTTAGTTTCCAAGATGAGCACTTTTGAGAAAACATAGTAACTTAAGAAGATACAAGGAGAAGTAAAACTCTTTTCAAAACATGTAATTAGATTTCCTGAGTGGAGGTTAGAACTGCAGGTTTAAATGCTCATTTTCCTAGAACAATCACTGTTGAGCAGGAGAAAAAGCATCCCTTTCCCTGACAGCGTCCTTAAAGTCTTCCTGGGAATTAAGAAGACCTAATTTGGATATGGCTGAAGAGATACATTCTGCATGGTATGACATGTTCCTTACACATGAAAGGGGTGAGAACTGCTCTGACTTAAAATGACAACACAGTTTGGAGTCCTTAGACTAGAATATTATTCTGATTCAGAGATGTCTCATGCAGTTCTCTGTAGGCACAGAGAGCATGTAATATCTATAGCAGTTGCTTCTCAGCCTTTTAGCTAAGATCAAGTGAAAAAATCTAAAGCATATCCTCATTCCTTTTATGATATTATTCCTTCCATAAAACTCTGTTACTAGCCGGGCGCTGGTGGCTCACGCCTGTAATCCTAGCTACTCAGGAGGCTGAGATCTCAGGATCGCGGTTCAAAGCCAGCCCGGGCAGGAGAGACCGTGAGACTCCTATCTCCAATAAACCACCAGAAAACCGAAGTGGCGCTGTAGCTCAAGTGGTAGAGCGCTCGCCTTGAGCTGAAGAGCTGAGGGACAGCGCCCAGGCCCAGAGTTCAAGCCTCACGACCGACAAAAAAAAAAAAAAAAAAAAAACTCTGTTACTATAATTTTATCTAGTCATATTTTACTTTTTCCTCTTCATCCTTTGTAATCTTGGCATACAGTGTCTGATATTTTTTTATTGTGAAAATACTGTACAGAGGGGTTACAATTACATGAGCAAGATAATGAGTACATTTCTTATCAAGCATTGTAGCCTCCTCCTTTGTTTCCCCTTCCCATCCCATTCTCCCTCACCCAACCCTCCCCCCCCCCACCAAAGTTGTAAAGTTTGTTTTTGACATAATGACTTGTACATCTCATTGTTGCAATGGGTCCACCTGTATCCCTATTTAAACTATTTGTTTTTCCCTTCCCCTCCACAAATTATACCAACATCAAATACAGTGAAAGCAGGGGTCCGTGGGGGAGGGACATACAAAGCAACAAAGAAATAATCTTATAAATGTGTTAGAAACAATCGCATGAAAGAAAAAAAATTTGAATATTATCTTAGTGTTCATTTCCCTAACATCAACTTATCTGACCTTTTCTGCTTGACTCAGACATATACTAGATATTACAAATAAGGGAAACCAGGGACCTACGTTTCTTTGGGCCTGGCTTACTTCACTTAATATAATTTTTTCTAAGTCTTTCCATTTCCTAATAAATGGGGCAATGGTGTCTGATATTTTAATTGAAGAATTATTTTAAACACTATGATTAAGTACTTTTTATTTCTTTTTGATTTGCTCCACTTTGAGGTTTTTTACCAAAGTTTGTGTTAATTTTTTCCAGTTTATTAATGGTTGTATTACATATAAGCATTTTCTTAGCTTTACAAATGAAAAAATTCCGATTAGTATATGGATGGATGTATGGATGGATGTACATATATATATATATATATATATACACACACACACACACAGATCTTATAGGTAATGCACCTATTTATTGATTTTTCCATACTACTTATAGTAACATGCTAGCTTTAATAGTTAAACTAGTACCTCTCTAGAAAAATAATACTGCTTTAGAAAAAGCATAAGGGAACTAACTAAACCAAGGACATATTTTAATAGTCAAACCATTTTGGGGAGGAAAGAGTTTGAGAGGAAAAAAAATTGGGAAAAAACAAGGGAAGAAGTGACACTGTTCATAAAGGAATGTACTCATTACCTAATCTGTATAACGGTAACCTCTCTATACATCACCTTCACAATAAAAATAAATTTTAAACCATTTCTAACCTTATAGCAACTGTTTTAACTCTACATCGTATCAGGGACTCAGATTGAATCTAGCACCTATAATCAGTTTTTTAAAATTCCTTGGAATAAAAATAATTTTCTCATGTACAGGACTTACACAGTGGCTTATTCATTTTCTTTATTTGTATTTATATGGCCTTTGGCTTTACTAGAATAAACAAGCACAATGATACTAATATTTTTATATTATTTGTGGTTTTAGTTTTCCTTACAAACAGATATGACCAGAAGGCAACTGGAATATGAAGCGAGACAAATCAGAGTTGCTATGGATGAACAACTAGGTACTTGCCAAGATATGGAAAAACGAGCACAGGTAAGTTATTTTAAGCTATAAAAATGACAGCTCTGTTAACATTAAATTTTTTCATTAAAGATATTTATGGGACTAGAGATAGAGCCCAGTGGTAAAATATTGCTTCATATATGCAAGTCTCTGAGATCAATCCTCAGCACTATTTCAAGATAATCTTTCATGGATGCTGCATTGTAACCAATTTTCACATAATATTGTCTCTACCATATTTCATTTCCCTTGGTACCATTCTGTCCTGCCTTATAGTCATAAGGAAGAAGGTATTGATCATAGTACCTGATAATATACTTCAGCTCTCCTTTGATTTTTACTTCTTATAATCTTAAGTATGTATAATGATATTGAAAATTACATCACCGTTTTCAAGTTTTGCACCAAGACTAAAAAGGAAGGAAGGAAACATAACAAAACCAAAGGCAAGATTAAATAAGTTGGGTAAAAAATACTTGCATATTTCTACACTGGACTGTTGTCAAGAGAAAACATTAACTTTGTTATCAACAATTTTCATAGATTACTGAATTTAGTATACTGATTTTCATAAGTCTCATAGAGGCCTTGATGGTTAACTTGTCTGTTCCAAAATAAGTATAAGGACTTTCCTTGCTTTGGGTTTTTGTTTGTTTGTTTTTTCAACTTTTGGCACACAAAGTTTTTTTAAGTAAAAAGCAAATAAATAGACAAATACTTGATGTATAAACACATATCTGTGTTTGTAAGGTTTATTTCATAGTTTAAAAATATAACATAAGACATTTTATATTCTCCAAATATTACATAAGACATTTTTATATTATCCAAATATAAGACTTTATCTTTTATGTGGTAGCTTCCTAAATATAAGGTATAGTCTATGTTCAAATATGATTGTAGATGAAGGTAATACTCAGCACCCATACTGTGAAATATTTCATAGTCTATACCTGTTAGTTCCACAACTCTCTAGTGTGTTATTAGAATATGTGTGCTCATGGACTTGCATTCATGTATGCATGTATTGCCATATTACAAAATATGAACACAATACTGTTTTCTTGCCCATTCACTTTGTTTTTGTTTTTTGTTTTTTGTTTTTTAATCAGTCGTGGGGCCTGAACTCTGGGCCTGGGTGCTGTCTCTCAGCTCTTCAGCTCAAGGCTAGCACTCTATCACTTGAGCCACAGGACCACTTCCGGCTTTTTTTTCTGCTTATGTGGTGCTGAGGAATCGAACACGGGGCCTTATGCATGCAAGGCAAGCACTTTACCACTGAGAGTGAAACTTTATACCTTTTGATTGAAAACATGTGAATGTTTCTGATTGAGTAGGAAAGAATTTCTTAAAACCTAAAACAGTAATTATAAATAAAAGACATAATTTTTACTATAATAAAATTAAGAATTTATCTTCATCTTTCTTGTACCTTATAGAAAGTGAAAAGTAATAAGTTATTGTCATATAGCTAGGCATTGAAATCGATGAGATGTTAGGTATGAAGATTTTTGTGTGACACAAAATCAATGTGTTACCAAAAATTTAATCAATAACCCTTAGAAGAAAGCTTAATTGAAGTTCTTTGGGGGTATTTTGTTCACATATATGCTGATATAGTAATTTTTTATTTAATTCTAGAATACAGTGTTTTGCAATATAAAATTTTACTTCATATTTTGAAAAACATCAAGTGTTCTTTTTTCTGAAAATAACCATACGAGTCTTAGGATTAATGACATATCATAAGATAAACAGACAAATGACAGAAATGTTCATGACACATATGATAGTATTAGTATGCCTTCTATATGTGGAGTACATTTCAGATTAATTGTAAGCAAAACCAGGTAGCAAAAAAGTAAGATGTAAGTCAGGCATGATAAGGTACACGTGTAATCAGCCTACTGAGTGCAGTAGGCTGAATCCAAAGGTTTGAGTTCAGAGACAGCCTCAAAATACTATATATCCTGAACCTGTCATTCATAAATAAATCTAATACGAATCTCAACACAAAATAATTTTAGTTGGTTAATATGAAAAGATGTTTAAACATGAGTAATAAAGGGAAATGTAATATAAAAAACTATCTTTTTGGACTATCAGGCTGGCAAAATCAATGCCATTTGAAAACACTCAAAAATTTTTTTATTTTATTTTTTGCCTGTCCTGGAGCTTGAACTCAGAGCCTGGGCACTGCCCTTGAGCCTCCCTGTGCTTAAAACTAGCACTTTACCACTTGATCCACAGCAGCACATCTGGTTTTTTCTGTTTATGTGGTGCTGAGGAATTGAACCCAGGGCTTCATGCATGCGAAGCAAGCACTCTACCACTAATCCACATACCCAGCCCCAAAACACTCAATATTGATGGAGGTGTCATAATTAGAAGAAGTATCTATATTGATGGAGGACAGCTTTGTGCTATATACCAAAATTAAAATGCTTATGCCTCTGACCCTGTAATTCTATAGTACTTCTAGGAATATGTCCTTCAGAAATTCTTGCTTTAGGGTACAATAATAGAGATATTACATCTTTTATGATACTCATTATAACACAAGTAAGATCTTAAAAGGAACTATTTAAATGCTCATTATTTGAAATAAATGATTGTGTCAATATTCATCAGTTCAAATTACTAAGGTAGTAGACATGTAGTAGCCAGAACATTCCTTCACCTCCTAACTCATGCTTAATTGGGAAGAAACCAGAAAAACTCACAAAGGTCTGAAGCTATGAGAAAAAAAATATAAAGAAAAGGAATGGATAAGAATGCCAAACAAAATTAAAATAGGGCACAAGTTTTTTAACACAAGTATTTATGGAAAGTCATATGCTTTATATTAATTTAAGAAAATAGGGCTGGGAAGGTGACTCAGTGGTAGAGCGCTTGCCTTGCATGCTTGAGGCCCCGTGTTCGATTCCTCAGCACCACATAAGCAAAAAAGAAAAAAGCCAGAAGTGGCGCTGTGACTCAAGTGGTATAGCGCTAGCCTTGAGCTGAAGAGCTAAGGGACCAAGTTTAGGCCCCACAACTGGACCCAAAAAAAAAAAAAAACAGAAAAAAGAAAATAGGGAAATAGTGAGATTATATAATTTTAGTAATTAAAATGTGGTTGAGGTACTTATTGTCATTACTATATTTAACTTAACTTTGGAGACTCCTCTATAGATGCAAGTAGAAAAATAAAATGTTATACTAGATCTTATAGGCATATGCAGAAACTATTTTAAAAAGAGTCCCAAGTGCACAGTAGATAAGTGAGAGACTTCACAAATGGGATTACATCAAACTAAAAAATTTCTGCATAGCAAAAGACATAGTTACTAAACTAGAAAGACAGCCAACAGACTGGAAAAGATTTTTACCAGCAAAGGCCTAATATCCATAATATACAAGAACTCAAGAAACTAACCTCTCCCAGAGCTAATAAACCAATCACTAAATGGGCAGAGGAGCTAAAGAGAGACTTCTCAGGAGAATAGGTAAGAGTGGCAAAAAAACATATGAAGAAATGCTCAACATCACTGGCAATGAAGGAAACACAAATCAAAGCAACTAAGGTTCTATCTCATCCCAGTTAGATTGGCCAACATCGTGAATTTAAACAACAGATTTTGTTGGGGATGTGGGGCAAAAGGAACTCTATTTCACTGTTGCTAGGAATGTAAACTAGTACAACTATTCTGGACAGCATTCTGGAGGTTACTTAAAAAACCAAACATAGATCTTCCCTACCACCCAGCCATACCATTCCTGAGCATCTACCCAGAATTTCACAAACTAGGATATCATAAAGACACTTGCACATCCATGTTCATTGCTGCACTATTCACAATAGCCAAATTGTAGGAATAGCCCAGATACCTTATAGTAGTTGGATGGATCCAAAAATATGGTACTTATACACAGTGGAATTTTAACAGCCATTAGAATAATTGTATGTCATTTACAGGGCAATGGATGAACCTAGAACAAATTGTGTTAAGCTCAGAGAAACAAATGACACATGTTTAATCTCATTTGCAGAAGTGAGAACTAAAATACACTGGGACAGGATAAATTATATAGGACTCTATAGACATTCACATATAGTGAAACCAAAGGAAGATATTCTTAGGTGCAATTCCCATGTGCCTCTGATTATATAAAATAGTATTTGTCAAAATTAACTCCAAGAAATGGAAACAGTTTTTTCTTTGTTTTCTTGCTTTCTTTCTTTTTTGTTGGCTTGTTTGTTCATTTGTCTTTGGGAGGGTTGTCAAGGGCACAGAAATAGAGGGACAAAGGTGAGTGAATATAGCAGTGGTACTCACTAGACACTATGTTGAAACTGAACAATACAAGTTGTGGGTGGGATAAAACTAGAGGGAAAAACTAGACAAGAGCAAAGGGAGGGGTTCCATTGTCTAAGAAGAAATGTAGTCACACCTGACATGTAACTTAATTCTTCTGTACATCACCTTTATAATAACAATTTTTTTTAAATTTTAAAAAGAAAAATAGTGTTACAAGTAAGCTATTTCCCACAAGAAAGTGATAATTGTCACTTGTAAATGAGATTGCCTAGAAAAACCCTAAAAGTTGAACCAAAAAGTATTTTGACTAGTAAGAATTTAGTAAAGTAACATTTGTTTTTTCCTATTCATTTTGTTGTTTGCTTTTCTTTTTTCTTTTTTTTTTCCCAAATACTGGGGCTTGAACTCAAGGGTAGGTGCTCTCACTTAGCTTTTTAGTGACAGAATACAACTTAACTCGTGCCTACAGTCCCAGGAATCATTTCTAGTAGCAATTAATTCCTCATCAAGAGTGGATAGGAGGCCAGATGCTGGTACTTGACACTTGTAATTGTAGCTACTCAGCAGGCTGAGATCTGAGGAATCACAGTTTGAAGCCAGCCCAGGCTGAAAAATCTGAGATTCCTATCTCCAATTAACTAGCATAAAACGAAGTGTGGCTCAAGTGGTTCAAAGCTAGCCCAGGCAGAAAAGTCTCTGTGAGACTCATCTCTAATTACCAGAAAACTCAAAAGTGGAGCTGTGGCTCAAGGTAGAGTGCTAGCCTTGAGCTCAAGAACAGGGCCCAGGCCCTGAGTTCAAGCCCCACAACTGAACAGAAACAGAGAGAGAGAAAGAGAGAGAGGAGATCCTGCTTACTCATTTATGCTAGTCCTGGGGCTTGAACTTAGGGCCTGAGTACTGCTCCTGAGCTTTTGGTTTTTCTTTCAATGCTCAAGGCTGGTACTGTACCACCTCTGACTTTTTGCTGGTTAGTTGCAGATAGAGTCTCATAGACCTTCCTGCTGAGGCTGGCTTTGAGCCAGCCAGATCTCAGCTTTCTGAGTAGGATTTTAGGCATGATCCACAGGCTGCTGGCAAGCTCACAAGTGTCTCTCTCTTTTTTGGGGGGGAGGGGCAGGGTTATTTGTGAGGTTTGAACTTAGGGCCTAGGCACTGTCCCTGAGCTTTTTTTTTCCCCTCAAGGCTAGCACTCTACTACTTTGAGCCACAGTGGTACTTCCTGTTTCATGCTGGTTAATTGTAGTTAAAAGTCCTTCCTGGAAAAAGTAAAACCCTCCCTCCTTGCAGATGACATAATCCTGTACTTAAAGAACCTCATAGGGCTGGGAAGGTGGCTCAGTGGTAGAGTGCTTGCCTTGCATGCATGCAGCCCTAGGTTCAATTCCTCAGCACCACATAAGCAGAAAAAGCTGGGAAGTGGCACTGCGGCTTAAGTGGTAGAGCAGTAGTCTTGAGCTGAAGAGCTGAGGGACAGTGCCCAGGCCCAGAGTTCAGACCCCACAACCGACAAAAAAAAAAAAAAAAAGAATCCCATAGACTCCTCTCCCAGTTTACTTAAGCTGATCCAAAACTTTGGTAAACTGGCAGGATTTAAAATTAACCCTCAAAAATTAGTAGCTTTTAAGAAAGGAATCAAAAAAAAAAAGAAAGAAAGGAACCAACCAACCCAGATGCCCCTCGGTAGATGAATGGATCAAGAAAATGTGGTATATTTATCCATTGTAATTCTGTGCCTCCATCAGAAAGAATGACATCGCCCATTTGTTAGGAAATGGAAAGACTTGGAAAAAATATATTAAGTGAAATAAGCCAGGCCCAAAGGAACATAGGTCCCATGGTTTCCCTCATTTGTAATAATGAGTATTAATGTCTAGTCTAGGATAGTCCTAGCAGAGGATCACAGTTGCTCAATAGCTATGTACATATGACCATATAAATTATGCTAATTGAAATGAACTCCAAGAAATGGAAACAAGGGGGGGGTTGTTTTGTTTTTTAATGTACTGTGGGAAGTTATTTCTTTTTTCCCTCCTTTGGCTTATCCTCTGTGTCACTTTTTTATATTGGTATGCTGTGTCTTGTATGTGTTTATCTGATTTGGGGAAGGAAAAGGGAACAATGAAATGGTGAGACAAAGGGCAAAGAGTGAGCCAGTACAACAACAGTATTCACAAGACTGTTGAAAATTAACTTTATGACTTGGGGAGGGAAGTCAGAGGGGAAGGAAAGTAGGAGAAAATGAGGGAGGGAGTAATACTGTTTGAAAAGAAATGTACTCATTACCTTATTTATGTAACTAACCCCTCTGCACATCACTCACAATAAAATTAAAAATAAAAAAGAATCTTTCCTGTCCAGGCTGTCTTTGAACCAGCCTCCTGAGTAGCTACGATTATAGGCATGAGCCACCAACACCAGCTTCAGACTTTTCTCATGGGTTAGATACCAAAAAAAATTTAGAAACTAGTTTCTTTTTTTCTTTTTCTTTCTTTTTTTTTTTCAGTCATGGGGCTTGAACTCTGGGCTTGGGCACTGTCCTTGCCCTCTTCAGCTCAAGGTGAGCACTCTACCTCTTGAGCCATAGCACCACTTCCGGTTTTCTAGTGATTTATTGGAGATAAGAGTCTCAAGGACTTTCCTGCCTGGGCTGGCTTTGAACCACAATCCTCAGATCTCAGCCTCCTGAGTAGCTAGGATTACAGGTGTGAGCCACCCATGCCTGTCTTAGAAACTAGTTTTTAATACTGTTTTACTTCATTGTCACTTTATTATTACAATGTCAAGTATAGGATTATTGTAAGAAATGGTACAACCATTTTAATACTTCTTCACACCTGTGTAATGATTATTGTAACCTTCATTTTTAAAAATGACTTCAGTTTTCATTGTTTTAAGTAATTAGGTTTTTTTTCTACTTTTGCTAGTATTCATAAAAATAAGAACAAAGTCTTGCTTTAATAAAGAAAGCATTTTTTCACATTATTTCACTTTTATGTGATTGGGTCTGTAGTTATTTGTGGTACCAGATGATCTCTTTACAGTAGGAAAGCAAAAGCTACACAATCTTTGTGATCTTTGTGTTGAAGATAAAAGTAATGTTAAGTTGAAGTAGGTGCTTGGAAAGTCTGAAAAATACTTCTAACTTGTAACAAGTTACTTTGGGGGGGGGTTACTACTATTTAAACCTTATTTTATTAAAACAAGTATATGTATACAGACTTGATTGCTTATGTAAGAGTTTAGCATAACCCTGAGTTGTTAAATGGTAGCGTAGTATAATTATTTATACTTAATGTGTTTACTAAAAGCATCTCTAACTTGGTGTCTTACTTTATTTTAGCGAAGACTAGCCAGAATCCAACAAATAGATAAGGACATACTTCGTATACGACAGCTTTTACAATCCCAAGCAACTGAAGCAGAGGTTAGTATTTCCTTAATTTTTGTTTGTATACAAATACAGGTAATTGTCTAAGAAAAAAAAGTGTTATTGATATATGGATATTCTAGAAAATTGAGGTTTTGGTGGAGTTTTTTGTTGGTGTTTTGTTTTTTGTACTGATCATGGGGTTTGAAATCTGGGTCTGGGTTCTGTCCCTGAGCTTTTTTGCTCAAAGCTAGTATTCTACCACTTGAACCACAGCTCCACTTCTGGCTTTTTTTGTTTTTTTGTTTTTTGTAGGTGGTGGGGCTTGCACTCTGGGCTTGGGCCCTGTCCCTGAGCTCTTCAGCTTAAGGCTAGTGCTCTACCATTTGAGCCACTGCTCCACTTCTGCTTTCCTGAGTGTTTATTGGAGATAAGGGTCTCACAGACTTTCCTGCCAGGGCTGGCTTTGAACCACAATCCTCAGATCTCAGCCTCCTGAGTAGCTAGACTTACAGATGTGAGCCACTGGCACCTGGCTATTCTTCCTGTTTCTTTGGTTCTTAATTGGAGATGAGTCTCATGGAGTTTCCTGCCCAGGTTGGCTTCAAACCATCATCCTCAGATTTCAACCTCCTGAATTACTAGGATTACAGGCATGAGCCACTAGTGTATAGTTGAATTGAGATAATTTTTAAGTTTTTTATGAAATTAAGATACCAAAAACTTTGACTATCTTGATTTGTTCATAGTATCTATGTCAATATACATGTATATATTATAACAATTAGCTTAATTTAGCTATCATCACTCTGTAAGTCAGCCTCTTCCTTGTATATAATCCAAAGTAAGGATTGATTGTACATTTTTACTTGTGCTTACTCACAAACCCCATTAAAATGATAGTTTTAAAGCATAAAGACCAAGAGGGGGTAATATAAAAATTTAAGGATCTAGAAAGCAGATGAAAACTTATAGCTATTCTATTCTATCATATTGTAGGAAATTATTCCTAAATCAGCAATAGAAAAGTCATTTAAACACAGTATTCTATTGAGTCCCAAAATATTCCAGAACTGGCTTCTACTGGTTAGCTCTAGATATGTGCAATACAGAAAGGCTGAAAGCAGAGAGCATGATTAAAAAACTGCTAAGAAGCAAATGAGCCTTCCAGTAACCACAGAACTAGGCAAATGCTCCTCCTTTCTAATCCTAACACAAGATAAGATGTCTTTTAGCTGGATGCCAATGGCTCATGCCTATAATCCTAGCTATTCAGGATGCTGAGATCTGAGGATCAAGTTCAAAGCCAGCCCAGGCAGGAAAGTCTTTGAGACTCTTTTTTTTTCTTTCTTCTTTTTTTTTTTTTGTCAATCATGGGGCTTGAACTCTGGGCCTGGGCTACAACGCCACTTCTGGTTTTCTGGTGGTTTATTGGAGATAGGAGTCTCACCATCTTTTCTGCCTGGCCTGGTTTTTTGAACCGCGATCCTCAGATCTCAGCCTCCTGAGTAGCTAGGATTACAGGTGTGAGCCACCAGACCCGGCCATCTTGAGACATTCTTATTTCCATTAAACCATCAGAAAACCCGAAATGGCGCTGTGATTCAAGTGGTAGAGCGCTAGCCTTGAGCTGAAGAGCTCAGGGACAGTGCCCAGGCCCAGAGTTCAAGCTCCACAGCTCACCGCCCCCCTCCCCCAAAAAAATAATCTTAAAGTTGTAGAGAAGGAAGGGGACAATTTTACATGAAGGAAGAAGAATATATAAAAGTGTGTGTGTGTTTAGATTATAAACAGCAGAAGCTGGGAAGTTGGGTTCCAGTTGCTTTAAATCTTCAGAAAATTATTTTTAGCTCCTTTGACATTAATTCTTTGCCATTACTCGGTGTCATATAATTCTGTTCAATTAGGATCCTAACTGCCTAGATTAGTATTAGCCCATAAGTAAAAGATAGTTATTTACCAGACTGTTCTCATTTCACTTACCAGTCCAAATTTTGAAACCACCCACATTTCTCCCTGCCTGACTATAAATCCCACCCAAGTAGATGTATTGCATGGATTCCATTCTGACATTACCTGGAATTAGCACAGATCCTACAGGTTAGAGACAAAGTTCTTTAATTGACACCACTTTGTGTGCTAGCCAATAATGTTGGGTGGCCCCAAGCCATCCACCCTTGTTTCAAGCAGTTTACAAACTTAGAGCTTCCCACAGTCCTCTCTGTTTAAATTTTTCCTAGAGTGACTCACTGAAAGCTCTCTACTTAGGGATGTAGTTTTATTATAATGGTACAGATCATGGAAGAGATAGGATAGAGGGTCATACAGAACTTCTCCATGTCTCCTTGATGTCTCTTTGTAGTATCTCCTTTTGCAGCACTGTTACAAGTTTATTTTGGGTTGGGACTTACAAGCTTTTGTGTTGGTTTTTTTTTTTTTAATTTGGGAATGTGAAATGGTGTGAACGCTTGAAAATGTTTGGCAGTTCCTCAGAATACAATTACGATGTAACCCAATATTTGCACTCATCCCTAGGTAGCTAAGAGAAATGTTCATACAAGCTTTATTCATTGTGGCCCAAAATAGAAACAGTACAAATGTACATAAACAAAATATGGTATATCTTTACAATAAGACACTATTCTTCAATAAAAAGTACTTGTTCAGCAGATATTGATACATAACGTAACATGGATGAACTTTAAAAATCTTCTAAATAAAATAATCTAGACTGTGCCTAGAAAAGGAAATTTATAAAGACAAAAGGTAGATTAGTGGTTACCTGAGTCTGTGAGTTAGGAGTACTGTAAGGATTAACTGAAAACAGGCAGGAGAGATCTTATTGGAATGCTGAAAGTATATGTAACATATATGAAATTATAATACTGGATTATGGTGATGCTTGGTAAATTTGCTGAAAAAACATTTAATTGAAAACTTACACTGGATAGCTTTTCTGGCATGTAAATTCTTCAACAGAATTATTTAAACAAATTTTCCCATTCCTATCTTGTACTGTAGGAAAACTTGGAGAAGTGTCACCAAGTGTGGGAATTAGGAATATCATTATGACTATTTTGTTAGGAGCCAGCAGCTTGTTGGTTGTAATTTCAGACAGTGATCTAAGATGGAAGTAGACCTGTAGACTAGCTAGGGTCAATGGAAAAAATAAGAAATGAGCAAAGAAAAAATTTTATAGTATCCTTTTTAAAATATTTTTATTATAAAATAACTGTACAGAGTACAGTACTTACATGAGTAAGATGAGTACATTTCCTGTCACGCATTATTACCCGCTCTTTTGTTTTCCCCTATTATCTCTTCTCTCCCCAACTCCTCCCTCCCTACCAAGTTGTAAGGTTTGTTTTCAACATAGTGTCTTATACTTCTCATTGTTACAAGGAGTCAACCCTGTATCCTTGTTTCAGCATTTTGTTATTTTCCTTCCCCTCCCCAAATTAGAAAAATGTATATATAAGATACACCAGAATCAAATACAGTGACAACAGGGATTATACCATGGGGGAAGAACATACAAAAGAAACAAAAAAATCACATAGTACATTAACAACAGTGACAAAGAAAACCCTTCTGTGTCCCTATCTTGGGGTTCATTTTGCTTAGCATCATTTTCCATGGACATATGTACATAGCTTTTGACCTTTTCGAGCAAAAAAAATTTTAAGTGGGTAAGTGGTAATTTGGGCTCTAATGTTAGACTGCCAAAGTTGTAATTCTACCTTTCCCATTTACTAGGCATACAGCTAAAAGTACATAACAAAAGCAACTTAGATTCTCTGTGCCTCTCATTACTTTATCTATAAAATGGGAGTCATGATAGTACTAGGGTTGGTAGGAGCATTAAGTGAACCAAAAGAGTAGTGTACTCTACTTGATCTATGTAACTGTAACCCCTCTGTACAATTAAAACATTACAAAAATCAAATGATTAACACCTAGTAAATACTAGATACTTTAAAACTTTGTCATATTCATTATCATTACCATGACACTTTTAATTTTTTTTTCCTTTTTCTTGGGCCTTGATAGGCTATTCTTCTGTCTGGACATTAATTATTGTAGTTATTGCTTTTGGCCTATTTCTTTTTTTCTTGGTATCTTCTCTCCCTTTACCAGTATCACTAATGCTTAGCACTTTAGTTACGATCTATACACTATTGTTTCTTACTTTCTAGCTCTAAACTCCAGATTCCTAAATCTGTGTTCCTATTATACATCTCCATTTAGATGTATGAAACCTACTTTAAGTTCAGTATATCTAAAAGATAAATTAATGATCTCCTCCTAAGTACTCTTTACTATCTACCTTTCACCATAAAAAAACCCATATCCTTCTTCAATTGTCATGATTCTGCAAATGATTCCTCTATTGTGAGCTAATAATCACAGGAGTAATACTTTACACCAGACCTTTTCCTCTACTTCCCATAATCAATCTAACACCATACTCTTACCATATTTTTTTCTTTTTTTTTT